AAACGTTCTGCATGAATGGAATTACAATTTTGAGTAGGCTAAATGAAGCGGCCATATAAAAAGACGTAGCTTTCTCCAAAATGAGGGGGGGAACTGTAAAAGTTAAACAAAAAATTATTACAAACAAAACTATTAGTAATCTTATTTACGCTCGTTGTAAGCAAACCATTTAGAATGTTTCTTCTTGTATGCACAACAGGCCTTTGTTAAGCTAATTTATTTTCGGGGGAAAATGTATAAATAAATGAATATGAAAGAATATATAAATATTATTCACACAAACAATAATAGGATTATCACTGGATACAACTTCATGATATTAGTCTGCCATCTACTGGAGCAATGTCTTTTAAGATAATAAAGTATTTTGTATTCGTTCACAGTTTATGGGAAATCAACCTTACGTGAAACGGGCTTATTAAAAGGCTTTTTTTTATTTTTTATTTTTTACTGCCCATTGGTTTCAGTATGTAATTTGGACAATTGTTGTTTTGTCATCGTGTTATTTCTGGCCAATAGGTGGCACTTCTTTACATTTATATTCCATTTTAGAATAAGGTGGGAGAATTTGATGCTTCCAGTTAGAGGGGCACTTTCTTGAACGTGCAATTTGCATTGTGCAGATATTTCTTTACCTTTGTAATAGCTAAAGAATGAAAATTTGGACATTTCTCTCTTTCATATGACTCTCACTGATATGATAAGATAAGATAAGATAAGATAAGATAAGATAGAACTTTATTAATCCCTCGGGTGGGTTCCTCTGGGAAATTCGACTTCCAAAAAAAAGCACAGCAACGACCGAAGTTACAGAATTGTTACATACATATATATATATATATATATATATATATATATATATATATATATATATATATATATATAATAACACACACACACACACACATATAAATACAGAGACAAATATAAATAAAATATACAAAGGGGATAAATAGAATAAATAGGAATAAAAAATAAAAATACAAGTGAATTGCACATTTCAAGTATTGAGTCTATTGCACTGTTGACTATTTACAAAAAGTATTGCACAAGGTATTGTACAGTGAGGTGAAGAGGCACTACAGCTTAGTTGTTCCCCCCTCCTTTGTCCTCCTGTTTCCCCTCCCTCTCCCCTCCAGAGAGGAGTTAAACAGTCTGATGGCGTGTGGGACAAAGGAGTTTTTAAGTCTGTTAGTTCTTGTCTTGGGGAGAAGCAACCTGTCACTGAACAGACTCTTCTGATTGTTTATGGCCGTGTGCAGAGGATGCCCAGCATTGTTCATAATGTCCAGCAGTTTCTTTAATGTCCTTTTCTCTGCCACTGTCACCAGAGTGTCCAGCTTCATGCCGACCACAGAGCTAGCCCTCCTGATCAGTTTCTCCAGCCTGGATGAGTCCTTCTTTGCTGTGCTGCTCCCCCAGCACACCACAGCATAGAAAAGTACTCCAGCAACCACTGACTGGTAAAACATCCTCAGGAGCTTCCTGCAGATGTTAAAAGACCTCAGCCTCCTGAGGAAGTACAGTCGGCTTTGGGCTTTTTTATACAGGTGCTCTGTGTTGCATGACCAGTCCAGTTTATTGTCCACCCACAGCCCAAGATACTTGTACTTGTTGACCACCTCCACCTCCTCCTATAGCTCTTATCTCTGACTACAAGTCTCAAACATTTGTTCTAATCCTTATAAAATGATTTCAAATTGAACTTTAAATCAATGTAACAAACCTCAAACTGCCCTTTGGCAGCATACTAAATGCTGCTCAGTTTGTCCAAGGTCTTGTAATCCAAGTGGACTTTGGAACGTGATATTCATTAAAAGGAGGCTTATAAACTCAAATTTAAGACCTAACAGTTTGAAATCCAAAAGCTAAATGCTCAAGGTGTTTTATCATAATATATTCACTTGACATGCATAATGCAACTCAAACCAGCCAAATCACATGGCTAAACCTGAAGATTACACATGAAAAAAGCAAACAATTTTTTTGTACTTCACTCTAAGAAAATTCATTGTAAAAGCTCTACATACACTATGTCATCCTATGTCAGTCTAAGCTGGTTAACTTGACAAAAAATATTTTCAAAATTAGGGTTGGTTATGCTGTAGTTAACTATAACTATATGGAATGTGTTACTTGTAAATTTTATGTTGCACAATCCAAAGACCAGTCATTGTGAAATAATTAAAAATAAAATTACAGATGTGGTCATAGCTTGTTACAAAATATGGCTGGACCACGTTAGACATACAGAGCCAAAATGTGATTACGTAGATAAAGGAAAAACTGACTGTGGCGTGATGACAGGAGTCCATTTCGGGTCAAATTCAGTGACAGAAGGTTTGTCTGACTAACAATGAAGCAAGCTACCTAAAGGTCAACTCTTTCAAGTCTTTAAGGCAATCTCATATCTTGGCACAATATTTTACAACTGGACAAAATCCTTTTCAAAGCCAAAATCCACTTGATCGTGGATTTTGACCCTTAAAACAAGCAATTTAAACAAAAACAAACAAAAAAATAGAAAAGAAGAAAAGAAAAACTACATAGAAGTTGGGAGACTTTTCTTAAGTCTGAATGAAAATGTTCATCATTGGTCATGATTTGATATCATTTATTTTAAAAAATGAATGAGGGATATTACAGATTTTATGGAACATATATGTTTCATATGGGTTTTTAGACATCAGTTTTTCAATGTATTAGGAAAATATTGAAAAAGTTACATCTAAATACAACCGTCTCCAAATGCAGTGACATTTATGCATTTAATTCTACTACAGTCAAGCTCCCAAACCAGTAATATGTTCAACTGAATAGCAACCCCTGATCACAGAATGTTTGTGCTGTTGCTTTGATTCATGTATTTTCCCCATGTGAATAAAGCACTTTGTAGGTTTACGAATACATTTCTATACAACCACAATGCAAGCTGAATCTAAGTCTTATACAGTTCTGTGAAAAGTTTCCCTCCTTCCTGATTTTTAAAATAATTTTTCTTTTGGTTTTTTGTTTTGCATATTTGTCACACTTACATGTTTCAGATCAATAAACAAATTTCAATATTAGACAATGACAACCCAAGTAAATACAAGATGCAGTTTTAAAGCGCACATCTATCCAAACCTAACCAGGCCTGCATGGAAAAAGTATGTGAAAATTTCCATTTGCTAATTGTAAACTGCCATGGAAAAAATGAATATCCATGCTTCTCAAAATGTGTAAATTCAGCAACACGTCCTTTAACCAGACTTATAAACACATATGTATTCACACACACACACAAGGACACATTCGTTGTCCTTCCCTATTTGTTTTTGCCTTTTATCAAGGTATACTCAAGGCATGTTGCTAAGAGACTGAGATATAAATGCAACAAATCAAAAGACACACTGGGGCTATTCAGAGCTCCTCAAGTATTTTATTGTCTTTGTTGGCTCCAGGTAGAATGGCCATGAGGCCTTTGGTATTATAATCTGGACTCCAAAGCTAGGGAACTAGAGATTTTGACTTCATGCTCACTATCATGTGTACATGGATATTTTAAGGCTATAGATTGACATCAGTGGATTACAATTCATTTTGGGCTTGGGGATTAATATCAATATACAAATTAGTATTAATATAGTAACAGAAAAAAAAATATTGGTATATTATGTAATCTAGACTAGAACAGTCAGGACATGATACAACTATATAGTAGCTTTTCCATCACTTAATGAAAACAAGGTTGGATGACACCACCAAGGAGTGTCGTTATTTCTCGATTCTAATTGGGCACACCCCTCAAACCGGACCCCAACATTCTTGCTCTTTGACTGGTTCAAATGCTTTTGAAACCACATCGTGAACCTAAAAGACAGCCTTCCCTTGACGCCTAGAAGCCAGTCCGTTGACAGCTATGCGCCTCCCACATAGAGCGATCTGTCGGCTGATGTGGAGCCAGTGCGCTGAGGACCAATCGAAAGCCTTCGCTTTGCGTGCGGGAGATGTTCAAGATTTCTGCAACTGCAGCTTTTGTGCGCGGGTTAAAGAATGATAACTTTTAATGAAAAGAAGCATAAAGGGCCAGTGGTGGTGGTCAGCTTTGCCCCCCCCCAACTCCAAACTGCTCAACCCGAGCTGTCCCTCTAACATACTCAATTCTCTCAGTCCTGCACACAGCCAACAGAATTTTAACAACTTCATCTCTGCCACCTCCAGCTCTACCTCCTGTCGTTTTGTTAGCGACACTTTCTCCAAACAATACACCATAGCAGGTCTCAGTACTGTCTTGTTAACTTTCCATTTCACCCTTGGTGCTATCCTTCTATCACAAATCCCCCTTGACACTCATCTTCCACCCTGCCCATTGTCTCTTCAGTATCCCTCTTCAGCGCTGTCTATTGCTTTGAATGGTGGAATTAATGGCTTTAAGATAATTTTTCTACCAATTTTAATCCTTGGATCTTTGACTGGCTCTCTAAAGGTGACTTAAATTCCTCTCCTCTCCAGTGCATACCTCCACCTCTCATGGTTTTCTTCGGCCTCCTTCATCATCTCATTAAGTATCAGAATTTTGTCTCCAAACATCATTAAAAAATATCAACACAATAATGTAAATGATTAAACATGAACAACAGCAGAAGGACTGTGGCAATCTGATAAATACAGTCAGTCAATGATGATGTGTTACAGGTGATCACCAATATATTGCTCAGAATTTGCTTGTTACCGTTGCATATTTGCATCATATCAACATTTTATTTAACATGTATTGATGAAAAATATAATATTTTGGTCAGGTGTAAGGCCTCCTTCTTCAGAATCATCGTTATTTATTTAAGATAGGATTAAAAGTGTGCATATATGCCTATTGTGACGTCTGAAAGAAACGAATTAGGAACTGTTGCTTGCATTCTTCGTAACACTGTCAAACACTTGTCAACCAAAGTCGATCTTGAACCGAACTTGCCCTGCTACGTGACGACGCCGGGGCGTGGCCTCTCAGTTTTCCTAGGCAGCCCCACGCTCTCCGCTGACAGTGAGCGTAGCTACTGTCACGCACTGGAGTGTGGTGCCATTCAATCTGAGAGGTTAGCCTGTGATCTAATTTACCCAAAGCAGTCACCTCAGGAGCACTTAGCTTTTATACGACGCTCGGGACTCGTTTTAACTCGTTGTTAACAGGCGACAAAGGGACTTGACAAAGATGTCCAAAGACACGGAAGGAAAGAGTGAGAAAATTATGGATATGGAGAGCAAGGTTCTGTGGTACCCGGATTCTAAGAGGAACACACAGATGGATAAGTTTAGGATACAGGTCAACCAGGACTACGGGCTTAATCTGGGTGAGTGGGGTCAGAGGGAGGGAGCCAGACAGGCTCCAGAGTAGGTGTGCTGGAGAGAATACAAGTCGGATTATTGAGCCTACGAAGCTGCATAACTCAGCCAGATAGAAAAACAGAAACGAGCAGCATCTCTCCCTTTTGCTATGTGTCAGTTCATGTTTTAAAGGCAGCACGTTACCTCACAATCGACACAGTGTAGTGATGGCTTGCTGTGGAGCATTTCAAGCTAGCTTATTGCCACTTGAACACATGTAAAGAACATGTATAGGCGGTGAATCAGCATAAACAAATCTACGAATTTATTGTCTTAGAAGAGTTTTATTAAGGATGACCTACAACCACTCTGACACTCCCTGTTCAGTAATTATTAGCCGTTTACAAGCCTGTGGTGTTTGAATTACTTCCAGCTCGGAACTGAAAGACTGCGCCTGCAGAGCTGCCAGGATGGAAGCGAGCGGCCTGTTTCAATGGTCTTTCTAGTACCGTGACATTTTAAAGAAACAGGATTAAAGGAATGCTGAAAAACATGGTCAGCCGGCTAATGAATAAGTAGAGAGGAGACGAGGATGGGATTGGTACATCAGTGTAGATAGCCGGAAGGAATGTGTAATTGAAACAATAAAAATAGTATCATCCTATTTTCAACGTGCTGATATCCAGATTTCTATTTTCTTTAATCTGGTGTTCCTAATTTCACCAGGTGTTCTGATCCTTACAGTATTCCTACATTCCTACAGTGATTAAGTAGCTCTCATGGACAGCAAAACCTTTCCTGTAAATAAAAAGATCTAGTTTTCAGGAATAAGGACCACTTCTCTCTGCTGAAGGTTTTCCCAGATAAATTGCAATTTTATTTTGAGTAAGGATTTAGGAAAGAAGAGATACCAAAATGTTTCATATCAACATGTTTCAGTTGGTCTAAGCCTAAGGGGTGCTTACACTAACGTTTCCTCTTATCTCTACAATAATACAATAATAATTGGAAACTTTTGTTCTCAAATAATGACGAATCTTTTGTCTTCTAGCCAACTACAGTGACCTGTACCAGTGGTCAGTGGATTCCTACCCAGAGTTCTGGGGAGAGATTTGGCGCTTCTGTGGAGTCGTGAGCTCAAAGCCATATGAAGAGGTGAGTCCAACCTTCATGTATGGCATAACCTAAAAATGGGAATAGAAACGTGTGTATTTCTTATCCCAGTTTTAAAGCCAAAGACTACATTTCTAAACAGTTTAGGTCACTAAAACATATAATATTTAATATTTTACTGTACATCAATATAATGGTCATGCTAAACTGAAAACCCAACTAGAATTGAAGTAAGGTTCAGTGATTTTAAATTATGATAATTATATAATTTCCTGTTTCATCGTCTTAATGCTGCTTAGTTCCAGGATATACCCTCTGACGTGGGTGTGTGAGGTGTAGTTCACACGCCCCTTCTGTACACATGGTTAATGTTTCCTCTTCACTCTTTTGTCTAAGCAGACAATAGATAGAGGACAGGCAAGCAATTAGCCAGTCAATCAAACGTTTTGTTACAGTCTTGCACTGTGGGCTGCACTGTTATATCCCAGTGTTGCCTTGGAGTTTTCTAGGAAATTGTTTATCTTACTTTTTAAATTTTGTCCGCAATTCTTAAATTTTGTTGCAAATACAGTAAAAAAACAGAAAAGGAGAGCATAGCAGTTGTGAAACATTATTGTCTGGACAATTTCACGAGAAAGATAGAAAGCATCAGAGCTTCTCTGATGTGTCGCTCCCCTCCGTGTGTTTTTATCAGGTGGTGGATGTATCCAAACGCATCTCAGATGTTCCCGAGTGGTTTAAAGGAGCTCGGCTCAACTACGCTGAGAACCTGCTCAAACATGCAGACCATGACAAAGTGGCTCTCTACGCTGCAAGTATGTATATACTTAAGAGTATATTATGCTGATGAAGGTATAAGAAATTAAAAAGGACAGTTCTGCACCGGGATTTATGATGCTTTAATGGGGGATAACTTCCCTAATCCTGGCGCCAACTCCACACATGTTAATGGGAATTTTTAAAATGACACCACAAGGCACTCATTTTCTCTTTATTCTCTTAGCGCTCATATAATGTTTGCATTTCTGTTCAGTTTTTTTGCTGTTATTGTTTTTATTACTAGTCCTTCTTTTAATGGTGAATTTTAATGTCCTTTTCCACCACTAATTGTGCACTGTTGTCTCTTGTGTTTTTCTTCCCCGTATCACACAGATTGTAATTACTTAGTGATTTATTTGATTTTCGTGTGTGTTTGAGCTTTTTTTTGTGCAGAGTTGGGAGGGTAGTTGGGCACAGGATTGATGCGTTGTTGTGCATGAAGCTTCATACGTCACTTTGTTATTAGATTAACGGTTCTCTGTCAGGTACTAATGGATAGGTCTGCTTTTATTGCTATGTGTGCATATATATATGAGGCGAAGTGGGCCCTTGCTCCTGTGTGCAAGCTCCCTCAGGAGCTGTAACACAATTATAAGAAGCCCCATTGGTCACAATGCTGTGCAGCCTCTAAATGTCAGTAAACTATTACTTAGAGAGATAAGAGGACTATTCCTGTCTGTGGTACTGGATGATGTTGCTCTTTCTTTCTTAAAAATCTTATCTTACCCATATAACTCAATTTTCTGGAATGTGCGAGATGCCAGGTTATGACATCAGATACACTGGGCTGTCACTACCAACTTTTTTTTGAATGAGAAGGATAACAGGTGCAAAGGGGCATGTGATCTTCTTGTTCTACCCTAACCAAGCAGTTGTAAGAGGCTAAACCTAACCAAATAGTTTTAGTGCTTAAACTCAACCAGTGGTAGAAAAAGGCTTTTGAAGCTGATAAACCTGCAATATGTGCACCACTCCTCTTGCAACTTTATTGCAACAATATCAAAAATCAAGTGATTAAATTCCTGTTTACAGATTTGCATATTAACCTTTTGGATGTTACAAAAATGTATTTTTCTTTCTGTGTAGGTGTCTTAAATTTACTTTGTGTTTTTGTCTATCAGAGGAGGCAAATGAGGAAATTGTGAAGGTGACTTTTGGAGAACTGAGGCGTGATGTGGCGTTGTTTGCTGCAGCCATGAGGAAGATGGGAGTCCAGACTGGAGACAGGGTCGTAGGTGAGTCTCGTGTTTAAAGCCTGGTAGCCACACACTGGTTGATAGCTCATAAATTAGTTCACTGTGATGTATTAGTTTGTTTCCATTTAACTCCTGTCCTTTACAACCTCTTCACTTCATCCCTTACTTCTCTGTCAGTGTGTTCCATGTACTCGCTGGGAAGGTTGGCTGGCTGTTTTGGCTCAGGTTGCAGCCTCTTTCTGAATGGCACCATTTATTTTTTCAAAGTTCATATTTGTATAGGGAGGTGCTTGGTTTTTTTCAGCCACCACCATTAAGTTTGTTCATATAGAGTTAAGAGTTCAACCTTCCAGTGAACAGTAATCTTAAAAGTTGTAATGCAGTTGTTTACATCTCTCAAGTCATTTTTTTAAATTAAGTATTTTATTTTTTACAAACTGGGTTTCTTTTGCAAGTTTGTCTGCATCACTGCTGCTGGCTGCGGAAACATACACTGGGCTATCTGGCGATTAGATACGTTGGAGTTTTCAAGCACAGACTGTGGACTTGGTGTGTGGCAAACTTATTCTCAGCATCATTCCAGTCTGATTGTAGTTGTTGTAGTACTTATGATTAATATAAAAAATTACATTTACAAGATCCAGATGAGTATCCTTAAATAATGAGACTACCTTTTGTTTTGTTTTTATTTTTATTTTTTTGCCACCATAAAGTTTTTGAATTGTTCGTCATTTCTTCACCTGCAGTGGGTTCATACTTTAAAGGTGAAGCATGGTTCGCTATACTGAGCCTTATCAGTCACTGTCTGTGTTTCATTATGTGGTATGTAACAAAAATCCAACAATGACACGGCACTTACCATTTTCTTAGGTACATCTGTTCAACTGCTTATTAAACCAAATATCTAATCAATCTCCCAATCACACTGGAGCAACTCCGTGCTTTTCAGCACGTAGGCATGGCCAGGGCAGCCTGCTGAAGTTCAAACTGAGCATCAGATATGGGAAGAAAGTTGTTTTAAGTGACTTTGAACATGGCGTGGTTGCTAGTGCCAAAAGGTATTCCTGGGAATGTCTGAGTATTTCAGAACCTGCTGATCTCCTGGGATTCACCCACACAACCATCTCAAAGAGAATGGTCTTTATAGAAAAGGGGGGGGAAAGGGAACATCCAGTGAGCGTCACTTCTGTGGGTGAAAATGCTTTGTTCATGAGAGAGGTCAGAGGAGACTGGTCAGATTGCTTCAAGCTGATGGCAAAGCAAGTCAAATAATCACTCATTTCAACAAAGATATGCAGAAGAGCATCTGTAAAAACGTGGAACCTTGAAGCAGCTTGGCTACAGCAAGAGAAGACCACAGTGGGTCCCACTCCTGTCTAAGAAGGAAGCTAAGAATAAGAAACTGAGGCTGCAGTGCGCATGGGCTCAGAAAAATTGGACAATAGAAGATTGTTTAAATGTCAGAACATATCTGAGTATTGTTGCTGACTGTGTCCATCCCTTTATGGCCACAGTGTACCCATTATATGATGGTTGCTTCCAGTAGGATAATGTACCATATTACAAAGCTCAAAAATCTAAGACTGTCTGAATATAACAGTAAATTCACTCTATTCACCATCAGATCAGATCTCAGTCCAATAGAGCACCTTTGGGATGTGGCAGACTGGTAGATGTCATGGACATGAGTGTCTATTGACATGTCTATACTGTGGTATTATCAGGGAGTTCAGTTATGCTAGGATTTTTCAGATCTTAGTATGTGTAACAAAATATTCTGACCATCATCAGTAGGGTGCTAGAATCCAAAGTCATAAAGTAAATCAAGGAGGGGTTTCTGCTTTTGTTACAAGGCAACAATGAGGTAAATCTCTAAGACTGTTTATGAGCTCATTGTTTGGTTTCTGAGCTGGTCCTGTTGAGGAACGGTCAGGGTGTATATGAAAGGTTCTGGCTATGTGTGTTCAGAAGGAAGACGAATATTGCGGTAGGGAGATCCATTAGCTAAATGACCTGTTCTCTATGGGAATCTCATTAGAAAGACGAGAAGGATGGAGAAAGGCAGAGGGGGGCTAGAGAAACAGGGAAAAGGAGAGAGACCAGCTACATCATTCCTTTTTTCTCCTTTATCCCAATTACTTTCCTCGCATGTCTAAACAAGAGTGTGCGCGTGTGTGTGTTCAAAGTGTTTAAGACAGAAATGTCCTTGTCCCCCAAGTTGTGACTGAAATGTCTTGTCAGTGTCTGTAATCCAGGAGATATATAAGCACTTAGCTGATGAAGCCTGGCATGCTTTATAGTGGACCCTGGGCCAAACTCTCACACACACACACACACACACACACACACACACACACACACACACACACACACACACACACACACACACACACACACTCACACACACACACACACACACACACACACAACACACGCATTCTCCCTTTCATGTGCTTTTCATTGCTCTCCTTGGTCGCTTTAACTTCAGCATAATCCTACACTGTGTTAAGAAGCCCCTGTCTTGCCTGACCACCATTCAGCCGCTACTTCTTTTGATTTTTGTGTTATTTAAACACATACTAAAACTAAACTAAGTATACGGAGAATAAGTATGTTTCAGTTTTAGCATTTGCAGTGTAGTTGCATTTATGTATTAAGCTAAAACAAACAGAAGGTTTAAAAAAAATTGCTATTGGCTACCCTGTTAGACTTCCTTGTCCAAGAATAGTTTGGTTTTAATTTGGTTGGTTTTAATACTAATATTAATATTAAAAAAAACAAAAGGTTCTTATGTTACCTTACTACTACTGAGAAGTATTAGATCACATCTCTAAAATAAAATTAGTTTTATTTATTTTTATTTTATTATTGTTAATTGTAGTAACGTCTCTGGTTTTACAGATCAATTTTGACTCGTGCGTATTTACTTTAAGAAAAGGGTTTTTAAAAAAAGTGTTTCTATTTTTTAAAAAAATGTTTTGTTTTGGACAATATTAAACACCAGTGTTGGTGTCTATAAAAACACATGTTGAAGAAAGTGGAGTGGTGTCCTTTAGCTGCAAACTTTCAGGGGGCAGCTCAGATTAAAATCTATTTGCTTGGTTGTGTTTTTATTTTGCTCACCATGGTACGTTTCCTCCTGAGAAGTTCTTGTCCAACATCATAGATGGCAAACAAATTGTTACATGTGATATTGTGACCCCTGCAGTCCAGTAGTCATATCAAGGACTAGACGTTTTCCTTTCATTTTCTCAAGGAATGCCACTCGCAGGTTTGCCTTTTCCAAAACTTCCAGTCCTCTTCAATTCCATGCATAGCTGGTTTTTGATTGCATCACATTATGTCATATTCTCCTGACTTGCTGAGCATTTATTGCCAGAAGGAGCATTTTCCATGGAAAGGGGCAAAATATTCATCTACTGTCACCTCTGGCCTTGGGTTGAACATCAGTGAAAGGAGCTGGATCCATCTCTTCCGTATATCCCTAATGTGAGCAAGCTTGTCAGATGTTGCTGTTGTTGTAAAATCTGAGGACGCTTGATATTATTCTAAAGGTCTGAAGTGATATTGTTGCCTGGAAAATTTGGTCTTTAAGTGATGATGTATGAACACTGCTTCTGGGTCCAAACTACTCTGTTTATTAAGGCTGTTGTGTTTTTAACATGTTTTAATGCTCTGTATCTTGTTCTATTTAATCTGAACAAGCCCCTAAAAAAAGGCAGTAATCATTGTTGGCCTCTCTCGGTTTTTATTACCACTATTCATTTAAACTAACTACAGCCCAGCCCATGCAGCAGTAAATGAATGACTAACCTCGTATTGTGGATGGATTATCTCAGTTGTTCTCCCGACTAAATTTTAGTCCGTTTACAGCATCTTTTTCCTGCCATGCAATTACATTTGTCCCTAACCATCGGGAACCCTCACGTTAACTTTTACTGAATGGAAAAAAGTTAGTGTTCATCCTCATGCTTCACTGTGTTTATATGAATGCTTACCATAGCTGTGTAGCTATCCACCATGTAGCACATCATTATAGACCAGCTACCTCAACTTTGGTAGCCCTACAGAACGTCACTGTTGTTTAGTTTTTTGTCTTCATTTATGCTGGAAACAATATCAGAGCTGTACGTTTTAATTTTTTAAGAAATCCCTCAGTCAGATCATTGTATGTTATGTTTGGGTGAAAACTAGCGATCCAACTCCCTGCTAACGTCTATCTAACTCCGTTAAATTTCATAAATTCTGTTTTCGAGGATGCCTGGATGTTAAACTTGATCGTTACACCTGGTGGAGCAGCCTCACTGATCATTTTTATTAAAGGTGAAAAACAGTTTTTAACTCTCAGTGATGCTGCAGTGTTTGTTTGACTTTGGGACCTGAAGCGGAGTTTGGATCCAGAAACAGCTCATGAACTCAAACTTAAAGACCAGATAGTTCTGCCTGTTGATGTTTCCCAGTGATTATCAGTGGTGTCGTTGCTGGATCTGTACATTCCATCAAAAGGAACACCAGTATAGGGCTTCAGGTAGGGCTGTTCGATATAACGATATATATCGGATGATGTCTATCGTTTCCTATCACGCTATCGTTAGTTTCGTGTTGTTGCAAATAAACTGTTTACAGCAATATCTTTTCATCGTTTTGATCGTAACTGTAGTGGCTATATTAATTTCTTAAAGTTCTTTCTTTCTTATATTTAATATAACCACACTACAGACGGACAAGCGCCTGTTTTTACGTGTTGTCGTTAGCAACAATGATGGTAAAACCATCGCGTGGCTCCGCCGTCCGCTTGTTTGTTTTCCACGTAAACCTTTCACTATAAAGCTCAAGATCCTGTTGAGACTTTTCAAAATAAACTGAATCCTGTGAATGAGTATGCAGAGAATTTACGGATGAGAAGCAAAAAAGAGCCGTCAAGTGCTAAAAAAAATAGACTCAAACGTTAGAACAGGCCTTTCGCCGCAGTACACCGTGTAATAAATACTCACAAAGAAAACGGCTGCCGTTACAACATATGTCTAAAAATGTGTAGTTTCATCATGCATCAGTTAAAACACTCGACTCCAGCTACACGACGCCCATCTGGAAACACTTCACACAAGTCGAGCTGCCCGAGATTCACAGAATTTACAGAAAATGTTACATTTTTGTGATTTATATCGTTGTCAGGAAGATAAATGTCTCATATCGGGATATGAGATTTTGGTCATATCGCACAGCCCTTTTATTCATCATCACTGTCATTCTAAATGTCGCCATTGACTTTTTTTCCCTTCAAGGTCTGTGATAGCAGTGGTGACTTTCTTTGGTGACAATAGCATAAACCGATCAAAACATGTCTTGGTGTCACTTATTCTTGGCACAGCAAACTGGGTAATGCCAGGGGTCATTTGCAGCTGTTGCCCTGCCATGTAAGCCAGGAGGTACTGGATCCAAAAGATATAACCACTTGGATTTGTATGTTTCAGCAGAAGCAGAAGCAGCTTCAGCACCTGTTACCTCCTTATCAGATGTATCTATATTTATCTAAATCGTCGTCCTGCTCAGAAAGAGGGTCATCCATATTGCTGTTGATGCAGAAGATATGATCCAGAGCTTGATTTGTTGTAAATCTTCTTATTTTTGTATGCTACAGCCTGGAGATTTGTACTCTGCAAGTCACCAACTAAACTGAGTTGGTCCGTACATTACATATCTGTACATTTCCATCTGGAGATTTTCAGTGAGGCAGTGGGGATAAAGGGGGCTGTTTGTTCAGGGAAGGAGACAAACAGGTAAATAGAGAAGCCCCTAACTTCTCTCCGACAGTGTTGGTGAGCTCAGAGTGTGTTCATGATTTCAGTTTTAGCACTTTGATTTTTTTTTTATAGTGTTATATTATAACTGGTTCAAAACTGACAACACAAATATCCTAATTTTCACCAGAGGATTTTATAATTTAATGAAATTGTTCTTTTCTTTTTTTGTTTTGTTTAAATAAAGTTTAATTTGAGACTCCTGACAAAGTCAAAAAGCCTTGATGCAATAAAATGAATTTAAAAAGCACTTACCTACAAAACTTAAAAACGGGAATCACTTCACTCAGCAATTCCCAGCTTATTTAAAACCTTGCAGGCTGTATTCAGTATATAGTTTTCAGTTTTACCCAGGTATTTACTTAAATAATTCTTTTGTTTTAGAAAAGAAAGCATCATCGAATTCTAGTATCCAGTGTGGTTAAACAACTGCATCACACTAAAGTGCTTATTGTCAACATGAGGAGAAATTTGTCTCTAATTCATTGCCAACATGCACGTATACTTGACAGCTTAGCATGGATGAATAAACAGGTAGGGCAGTGTGTTACACTGATGCGTAAGCAATACTCTCACAGTGTAACAAAGTAGTCTTTCATAATAACAGCCACAGAGGTCGTCAAACAGGATTTTGTAGTAAGAATATGATCCGTGACGTAATTTGCTCCCGGCTAAGGTAAGGAGATATTAGTCTAGGAGCCAACGTAGCAGGGTGGTGATCTGTCAGCCCAAGATGTTATCAGGCAGTATCAGCATCCTTGTTGCAGCAAGAGTATGCATAACAACCATAAAAATCAATTTATACATGGAGATTATCAATATAGTTGCTATTTGTCTTTGACCAGTCAGCTTGTCTAGCAGGAACTACCAGTTGTTTTATGTTTTATTAGTTTAGATAAGACACATTATGAACAGCTCTATGTTTAAAGGTAGCATGGTAGCTCCAGTCATGCGTTTATTGCTACTTTGTCATGCATGTCATAATGATCTAGCTTTTTTCCTGCTCAAATGAAACATTGATCACCAAAAATCAAATGCAGTAGATTTGGTAATTTTCTGAACTTTTATGATGACTGGAGGCTGGAGGGAAGTTAATTTGAACAGTTTACAGTGGGATTGTCCCAAAAACACAAAATTAATTATTTCTTCTTAAATTATTCTCTGTGTGCTTGACTTGGTCACCATTTCACTTATTGATCTGGGAATATGTCACTACAAGACAGTAGTTATGGTCTCAGTTCAACTTGTTCAGAATGAAATATGCAAGAGTATTTCCTCGCTCTTCTTTGTATCCAGATTGTTTTATTTCACTGTCTCTCTCTCTACACGCGTTTCTTCTTCATTTCTTTGATGTTTTCCAATATTCTGTCATTTAAGTGTGTCATTTATGTGAACTGACTGTGAAGTTTTTCAGTATGACTACAGATAAGACTACAAAAGACCAGCTGTTTTATTGTACTAATTTTGGATAGCATATGACTACAGAGCTTGACAAACAAAGCTAATTTTTGCTGCTTTGAAATCAGATTAATCTATGTGCATTCTGTCTCTGAAGTGTTCACTGTGTACTTTTACTACTTTTCTATATCTTTTATATTTTTAAAAGTCATCATATTCATGCAAATTTTTTAATAAGGAAACCTTCATTTAAAATTCTGCACTGAACTGTATTATCCTCCTCTCTCTTCCCGTGTTAGGCTACCTACCCAATGGTATCCACGCAGTGGAGGCAATGTTAGCAGCAGCCAGCATCGGAGCTATTTGGAGCTCAACATCTGTTGACTTTGGAGTCAATGTAAGGACTTTCCTTTATTTCTTAATTTATATATATTTGAGTCAGACTTTTATTCCCCTCTGCTGTATTAAAGCTGTAATAAACCAGCTGTATTTAATCTGACATCTTAGATGTAGTTTATATATTTGTGGATGTAAGTTAGGTAGTAGTATACCTGTAGCAGTATTAGGGTTGTTGTATTATATTTCCTCTTGGTCTTTCATCTGCTCTTATTGGAGGATCGGGGAGTAAACCTTGCCTTTGAGATTTCTTTCCCAAAAGTATTTTTTTGCCTTTGGTCTCGGTATTTTTTGAGCTTCTACTCCCCCTACTGGCAGATCCGAGAATTACCATTGCAACCATGAAACAAACCTGTGGATTTGTATTCTGCTCTACTCTTGTTTCCTTTTTGTTATAAAATGTTTTTATTTTATTATGTATGTTATTATTCTATTTTATTATTGTATTCCATTATTATTCTAGGGGGGTTGTTTGTTTGTTTATGTTTGTTTTTTTTCTCTGGAAGGTGTGTGTTTTTCTCAGAAATAAGGGTTTCATGTATATTTGTTAAATTCCTAAATTTGAACTCTGTCCTTCTCTTTTTTTTCAGGGTGTCCTTGACAGGTTTTCTCAAATTCAGCCTAAACTGATCTTCTCTGTTGCTGCTGTAGTGTACAATGGGAAAACACACGACCACATGGAAAAGCTAATTAGTGTTGTGAAAGGTTGGTTTTCATATTGGAGAAAGACATTTACCAGCAAATTATGTATATATATACATGTATGTATGTATGCATGCATGTATGTTTACTGACAGTAGTTACAAATCAGAATTTCTGCGCAACTTGCTGGCTTTAACTATGTTTGAGGATTAAAGAGAATATAAAACATTAGCCTTTTTCGCTCTTTCTTCTAGGTTTGCCAGACTTGCAGAAAGTCATTGTGATTCCTTACGCTCGCACCAAACATGAAACTGACCTTTCCAAAATCCCCAACAGGTGTGTGTCTGTAAATATAATTACACTGTTTTTAAACTGAGAAACAAAAAGAGACATGCTCTACGTCTATTTTTTCACAGTGTATTTATGGATGACTTTTTGGCATCTGGGCGTGGTGAGGGTGACCAGTTCCCTCAGTTGGAATTTGAGCAGCTTCCCTTCAATCATCCTCTTTTCATCATGTATTCCTCTGGAACCACAGGAGCTCCTAAATGTATGGTCCACTCGGCTGGGGTAAGAAACACACTGGCTTGCACTTGCTCTGAATTAAAAGTCTTTAGTTTAAATACACAAATACACAGTATTTTTCACATACATAAACACAAGCACACTGTTGATAACTATATAATAAAAAAAATCACAATGCCATCACTGATTAAAGCCCATGGGTTGCTGTGTATTCTTGTTTGTCCTTGTATAACATAAAACACAATTGCTGTTTTTGTAGCTCATGCTTTGTTAATGCTCCACAAGGGGTAGAGGCAGAGGCAGCTGTCTCACTTACTTAGAAAAAACCCACTCTGGTCACATCTGTTTGCAAAGCTCTCCTGGGCTGACCCATGTGTAAAGAGTCTGATCCTCTCTAAAAGACTAGATTAATGTTTTCAAGAAGACAAATAGGGAAAACTTTAAGGAAGCATTTGTTCAGTAAAACATCACATCATCATTAGTCAAACATCAGCGCATCAGTCAGCAGATTGCAGATTGATGCCCAGTTGTCATGAGATTATGGATTGCTGGATTTCCATCTTGTCAACATTGAAAGCATTTCTCATTTATGCTGAGTCTTGAAGCCAATTCTCGAACTTTAAAACAGAATAAAAAAAAATCATTTAGTTGCTGGATGATTTGTGATGTGTGCTTTAGAAATAAAATGTCCGTGATTACACACATCCTGCTTAATATGAGAAAAACCTGTTTTTATGACTTAGCAAAATATGAAGGCTTATTAATGTTATGATATTCATTGAGTGAGTGCAGATTACTTCATAGTCTTATATGTATTGTTCTTTTTTGAAAGGGCATTAATCCAATTTATTATTTTTTTTTAATGCTGTTGAACATCTTACTGAGATCACTTTTAGCATCCTAACAAAGCAGCTCCAGTAAGACATCTGCTGAAGTGGTCTGTCGTTTCATTCCGCTTCCCAACACAAGGTGGCAGCAGACCTCCATCAGCAGATCCTAGAAAAGGTTACTTGCTCTCCAGAGAGTGCATGAATGACATTTCCCTGCAACACACCACATCAGAGGTAGGGCTAGTGTGAGAAGAATATTTGATTTCAAAAAGACCACTGGACTTGGAAAGCTGGAGCACTCACCATTTCAAAAGGTTTAACCCACTCAAACAAATGCATTCATGCATTTTCACTAAACAGTTGGTCTTGCACTCTGTCTGTCTGAGGGAAGTCTCCCCCCAAAAACAGAATTTTTTTAGGACTTTTTCCGTTATCTTGTAATAAAATAATTGCGACATAAGAGTACAACAGTGAGTTAGGCTCAGCATATGAACCAGAAGAAATGGAAAGCATACTCTGAGAGAATGTGAAAGGTTTCTTACCAAGGGCTCAGGCACACTACAAGCCACATTCCAACAGCACTTTATTCTTTAAAGGCTTTTACCTGTCATGCACACACTCACACCCTGATGGGTGCATCAAGAGCAATTTAGGGTTCGGTATTTTGCCCAAGGCCAACTTGACAGCCGGGGATCAAACCACTGACCTTCCGATTAGTAGATGACCCGCTCTACCACCTGAGACACAGCTGCACGGTTCTTAAAAAAGAAAAAAATTCAATTAGATTTTTAATGGGCTCATACTTTGCCTCTCTGCACCCAGTTTTTTTCCTTTCGTCCTTTTGCTGCTTCCAACTTGGCTTTTAGTCTCTCACCTTCCTTTCACATTGGTTTTATGCTCTAAACTTGCATTCCTTTTTCTTAGTTCTTCTTTTAAGATCCTCATCAGGTTAGTTTCCCTCTGCTTTCCCTTCTCTCTCCTACAGTATAGCTTCCTTTTCTTTCTTTCCCTTATTGTCTCTCGCTCTGTCCCCTTCTCTTTCCTTTGCCCCCACCCCCCTTTCTCCCCTTGCAGCCGATAATTGGACAGTAATGCGTTGGTGAAAACATTTCGTACTGTGACGCTGGCAGTCCTCTCTGGCTCAGCCAATTAGCCTGGGTACTGTTGTGCTTTCTGCTTTGTTACGGCTCTGTTAACATGCTGTCAGTAACAAGATGGCACGCACCAAAGGATGGGTATGGCAGCTGAGTCCAGCTAAAGACTATATGCACACACAAACACACGAATACTTGGAGCACCTGTATCTATGTAAGGATGGGCTCAAAACCGAAATACACGGTCAGATACTTGCGTACCCTTCACCAGCAATAATAATGTACCCAGCTGTGATGTGCTGGAGACTGTAACACTTAACCACAAACTTCCCTTTTAGTCTAAAAATAAAGTGTCATGTGTCGAAGCCTTGTCAGAACTGTTGCATAGAATTTTTTAAATATGAGTGACACGTGTCAGATTTGTGTCAGCTCAAATGAACTAAACTTTACTCACAGATAATAATGAGATAAATCGACCATTAGATCATTAGATTACTCGTTAGTCTCTAATACTTGTTGTCTTTTTAGGGCTCTCTCATCCAGCACCTGAAAGAACACATTCTCCATGGCAATATGACCAGCAGTGATGTCATCATTTACTACACTACGGTAAGCTCACAACCTGTTCAAAGTGACACACTCATGGTTTGAATATTTTCAAATACCAGCTGGTGTGTAATGTTTAAAAGTTTAACTTTTCATGTGCAAGTCGGCTTGAAAAGTCTGAGATTACTAGTGAATCCTTCTATTTTGCATTAACTAATAGTTTTAGTTGATAGTAGCATTTGATTTACTTGAACAAACCTCTGATGAATATGTCAAGTCCACTCCAGTGTCTTGTGAATGCTATCGTGGAATCTGTAACTCCTTTTTACAAACTTACTTTCTTTTACTCATGTTTTTTTTTTTAAAGTATTCATTGGATTATGTGAAAATCTGACAGTTTTTTTTTTTTTGATGTGGTGTCCAAGCGTTTCAAAATTCCAAAATTTCAGTGAAGTTCCAGCTACTGTATTCAAGTAATCTGTTGAAATATATACATAACAATCTTTAGTCAATGTATCTAAATAGCGTATTTTATTCCTAAAAAGCAGTCAGAAGGACAAATGATAATTATTTAGAGCAAGTCAGAAGATAAACATCATGAAAAGCAACAACTCATCAAATGTTTGGCAATACTGGCGTAAAATAAATTAAACTTCTTGAGACATTTTCTTTAAACTGATTAATTTACTGAGTTTCAGCAGTTTCAGCGGTTTTGTAAAAGTCTCTTCACTGACAGTTTTTGTGCAGCAGAACCAAAATTCACTTTATTCGCATGTGAAGACAGGTGCCAAAGCAGTATCTCAGCATGCAGTAAAATGAGAAAAATAATCAGGTGAATCACAGTCTGCTGCAGATGTCCATTTTGCTACACTCTGCTTTATCCGTGTTAAGACGAAAGGTGTTTTATACCAGATAAACTGACCACTGTGTTTGCATGTGTGGTCTTAGACTGGCTGGATGATGTGGAACTGGCTGGTATCTGCACTGGCAGTGGGAGCCTCTGTTGTTTTGTATGACGGTTCACCACTAATGCCGACTCCCAATGTACTGTGGAACCTGACAGACCAGTTGGGGTGAGTTAGCCACGCACGCACGCACGCACGCACGCACGCACGCACGCACGCACGCATGGGGAGGATGAAAAAGGAAATGACAGTGGCTAACTGTGCTGAAAGAGGATATGCTCTTTGTACTTATTATATAAGTTGTTTTTAACATTTTTGTTTATATTTTCCTGATGTTTTCAGTGTTTTGACCTGCTGAGACTGTACTTTAGTAAGTGAAGCTTTAGGTTTTGGCACCAGGGCTGAAATGATAAACCATTGTGCCTTAATTGTCTAAAAAATGGACACTCCAAATTCTTAATAGATCGTACTGACATCTATTGTAGCTTTACTGGACCTGAAGTCTGGGAAACACAGCATTCTTAATAAGGGATAAGAACAAGTGAGTTTTCCTTTAACTGTATAGTGCTGAGAAAATAGATATTAAGAATACAGAGAAAATCATACAGTTTTGTTTTTTGGGACCCTTTTTGGGCAGCACATTAATATTTAACAATTAATATAACTTATTACTTATGAAATTAGAAGAGATAAAGGAAAATCATCTCAAAACGAAGGATTGTTTGTAAAGGAGGAAATGGAAGAAATGAAGGGAACATATAGTGGTAATTGAGATAACTGTTATATTTTTGGAATATTTTAAACAAATTTATATGAATAAAAAAATATGTTTGAAAAACAAAAAAACAAACAGGTTTTTAAAAGTTCCCAAAACTTGTCATGTCACAAGCCACCAGGCAGCAGCTATGTGACAGTTTTACCATGTGATGTATCGGTATTTGGACCAAACATAATTATAGTTTCACATATCTCAAAAAGAAACCAGCTCAAACTTACAAAAGACACCCCGAACTCCATTATTGATCGCCACAAATGAGCTGCCTTGCTGTCATTTTGAAAGTGCACAGTGAAGTGTTGCGCTCAGCTGAACAGACTGTTCCAAGTCAGCAGGGTCAGCAGTCCTTTAAGCTTTTTGATGTGGAGATTGATGGTGATGTTCATTTGGATGAACCTAAAAACCCATGCAAGACAACCGCAGATACCGAAACCTGGATCTGGGTATTCAATTCAGAGGACGTTCACCTCAAAGGATGCACAATGTAGATCATATTAAGACAGGAATTTCATTTCATTTTTGAATGTCATGCCCACATTGGAAACATGGTTTAGAAACTCGTCAAGATTTATCAAATTCAGAGATTCAATGTTTTTTTTTTTTTTTCCCACTGTAAATTTGCTTCATCGAGATAAATTGATAATGTAAAACAAGATTTAAAGGTGAGTTTGCTACTGGGATTCGAGAGTTTGACGTTGTTAAAACTGTCTAGTCTACAATGTCAATATTTCCAGCAAATCCTCTATCTTGGTAAATGTCCTAAACACCACTATTAGAATCAAAAATACTAAATGTTAAACTGGGTATTGATCCTCTGTAGAACTGGATGATCTGCTTCGTAGTTCAGTTCTTCTGTCGTTGCCCTGTGACATCAGCGATAACCAATAGGATCGGCGTCAGAGAGGTTAACATACACTCATTAGGGTAACACCTTAAGCCTTTTTATGCACGCTCTTTACTTTTCCCTTAGATCTAATTGACTACATTGTCAATTTATTTTTTTCTGTGTAAAATATCTCATCTGTCTGTCCTCCACTCTGCATTCTACTCTGATGCTGAAGCAGAGTTTGTTTTGGTTTTTTTATGAAAAAAAAATGGTGCGGGGCTAAGAAGTGATAAACAAATGTATCTGCAAATCTACACACATTACACTCCAATTTAAAAATTAAACGAGCAGTCAGAAATATCCTTCTGTTTCTCTCTCATTTGATGATTATAATGATGATGGTGATGTTTATTGATCGGTGTTGTTGCTCCACTCTAAAACTTAATTTGAAGGCATGCAGAAGTCTGGGCATGAAGTTGAGAAGGTGTGTGCGAGTGTCTGTGCACACAGAGATACATCTGTGTTGCACGTGTCAGTTATTTGTAGATATGCAACATGAAACTACAGCAAGGCAGAGGAAATTTATTATGGATCTTATAATATTTGTATTAATTTAATGCATAAATTGGCAAGCAGTTGCCAATCGCTTTGACCCGTGTTACTCCCTGACATCATCATCCACCAGCACAACCTTAAACCCCTGTTATCATTTGACTGCAGAAGGGATAAAGACCAAGGATTCAAGTGTATGCATGCAGAGAAGCAATTAATTGATTCAAATATGATAGAGAAGATGGTCAGAACATATTTTTCCTCATTGTTTGCTATGTAGATCTTCTCAAAAGCTATGCAAGTGCTCTGCTCCAGTAGATATACTCATAGCATTTCCAATTAAAATGCTAGTTTTAGGACATGGCATAATGGTCTGTGAGAAAGTGGAAAATAGCAGGGGATAATTGCCTCCAAAATACAATATACAAGTTTCCAGCATTAGTATGATATGCTATTTTGACCAGCAGTATATTTGATCATCCACTGGAAACAAAACTGATATTGAGTATTTTTGATGGATTCTGAATACAGTAATTTATTCATTAAAAATAATATATGATAATGGTCTCTCTGTAATAACCTACTGCCACAATTTTAAAGAATTGAGATTATAGTTAGAAAGTGTTCAAAAAGTGAAAGATAGAGATGATAAAGATGATAGAGTAAACTGTATTATGTAACTTGCCCCAAAGAAATGCCCAGTAACACTTAATGGTTTATTATTACACCAGAAATATTTGCTTTTCTTATACTTAGTAGTAGTCCATCTACATGGATTGTGAATTGCATTTAATTAAAAAACAATGTCGCTTATATTTACTAGCCTGTATTTAGCATTTTTGAGCAATTGCACAATTTCGAGCAACAGTCATATATTTTGTTATGTGGGGCTCCTGACTGTAACTGTGCGTTATTTTATATGCTCAGCCAGGCTGTAGTTGAAAAAGAAATGTACTGTGGTCAGCAAAAGCAAAACCCTTTAAGGTAGCAGACCCATCTTCAGAGATGGCATATTGCCTTCAGCAAGAATTGGAATAATGGGGAGAACATTTTGACACATGGGGAGTAGCTCAAGTGCCAAGAAAAAGTACTCCTGCAGAAACTATTAACAGGATCAGTATGTAGGTCCTGACACCAAATTTCATTGTTAGTAGTCATTTCAATCATCGGATATATTAGGATCTATAATCTTTAAGTTAAACATTCAAGATGTCAGATTTTCAGTTTTAATTCAGGAGCTTTAACAAACGTATTGCATTAGCTGTTTAGAAATTGCAGCCATATTTGTTCATAGTTGTAACTGGACAATTGACACACAAGCAGTTTCATTGCCAGATGAGGCCTGTGCCCTCATTATTCCATCACAAATTAAACCGATAAAAGATCTGGAGTTGACTCAAAAGTGCAGAATTTGTAGCATACTGGAAATTAGGTTTAAAGAGATTGATGCAATTAAAGAAGGCTCTTATTACTGTAGGTTAAAACCTAAAATAAATTAATCAGAGAGACAGAAAAATTTTAACGGCAAAAGGCCCGAAAGACTACAGAAACACAACTAAAGCAGATAATCGCAGAATTATTTCCTTTATTAAGAAAACCGAAATCAAGAATACTGGTACTCTGAAGCGTATCATTGTCAGAGTCTACAATCAAGAGATGTCTTAATGGCTATAAATAGAGTGCAAACCACTGGTTACAGTCAAGAACAAGAAGAGCAGATTATAATTTGCCAGAAAACATCTAAAAGTGTCCGCACAGTTCTGGGGAAAAAAGAAGCAAAATGACAAAAAAGTAGAATTGTCCAGATGCTTATGGCCCTGTATGTCATGGAACGATTCAATGAGCAAGGTAAGAGTGCGGTTAGCAAAAATACCCACGTAATTTAATGAAAGACTACCACCATGACAGAAAGATGGATAGAACCTTTTAAACTGTGTGAAGATCAGCTAAGAGCTGATGTCAGCGCTATTAGCAAGTTTCTAGTGCTATGTTTAAAACAAAAATCCTCTGGGAAAGACTGACATGAATTTTTTCACAGATTGATCTTCTCAATTCAAGGTAGACATTTTAATTGGGACTAAATCTGCTAGAGCCCCAGGAAGTGTGGAACATACACTGAAGCATCCCCATTTTGCCTTGAGTTTTATTGGTTAGTGTTTCATGATAATGATTTAACAGCTGAATTTATGCTGAATAAAATAATTTTAAATTATAGGAAAAGATTAGCAGTTGGAGCACATTTGCTGTGTTTATGATGTGGAAAGAGAAAAAAAGGTGAGGGGAGGCTGAGGTTTGTGGAGCATCTCTGTAGAGATGTTTATTTTAATTGGTTGCACATATTGATTTTGAGATGATCCGTAACAAATGTTGGGCATTTTACTAGTTCTTTGTGTACAAGTAAATTGTTATGGTTAAGAGGCAGAAAAGAATCTACCACCAATACTTCGAGACCACATCATTGCAATCCAGTCCACAAAATGCCTACAAAATGCCACATATAAATCACATAAAAATATCTGTCATTAATTCGCTTCAATTTTGATCTCAGTCTCCTATTTTAAATGTCATGAAATTGTTTCTGGGCCTCTAAATTTCTGTTTGTGTTGCTAGGCAACATCCAGATAAACTGGAAAGGGTTGACAAGGCTGGGAGACTAGTTCTGAATTCCACCGCACAATATTATTAAAAGAGTATTATGTTTTCATGTCTCCTCTTTTCTTCCCTGCAGCTGTCCCTCAGAAACATCCTGTAAGCTTCATTAGAGATAATAGTATTTTTAGAAGTCTTCTCTTTCTGCTTCTGAGTTAATTTCAGTGTTGGGATTCAGGCAAATATCAGAGACATTTAAATTCTTATTAAAAAGCTATTCATGTTATCTTTTAGTTGTTGCAGTCACACACACACACACACACACACACACACACACACACACACACACACACACACACACACACACACACACACACACACACACACACACAAATAGCTCTAAGATCTTTTGCCAAGTATAAATCTTCATAGCCTAGTATCACATTTGCTATCTTAATCCAAAGGTAATACTCTGATTGCAATCAAACTTTCTAGGTGTGCACTTATGCAGCTGGGTTACTAACCGATCAGAATATCAATGGTCATGAAATGAAATAAAATTCAAGAATTTTTAGAGCTTGGAAGGGAAAATTACCACTAGTAATGGGTCACAATGGGGCTTTGATGAAAAGCAGAAAGCTGTATTTACTTTGGCAGTGGTAAAAACTGCCAAAAGCCATGAAGGGATCTGAATACCTAAAAGAACCCAGTGATGGAAAATGTTCATTTGGATGTCATCTCTAAAGTAAAACATTCAGACAAGCAAGAAATACAAACATTTAATTGAATGGAAGGCATTCCAAGTCTTTCAAGGAAGAAAGTCAGTCACTAAATGTGTTACAGTAAGGTGTCATACTTTAGTTGATTTACCAGCCAGAGTGAAAACTGAATTAGCATTATTTCTGAGGAGAGCCAAAAACAAATTCTATTCAATGGGTTCTATGTATGAAGTGGCCACAAGATTTATTCAAGGATTTTCCCTTCAATCTTTTGTTCATTATGTTTTGAACTACTATGTCCAGGAAAACTCCTCTTCCACGCTTGTGCCAGCGACTGCCGTGTGGAAGTCTTATCTTTAATTACTGCCAGATGAAATTCTCAGTTATTTATTAATTTTATTCTTTGGAAGAGATTCAGTACAGTACAGACAGTTTAACAGATTGCATCTTGCCAGCTCAGCTACAGTTTTAGACATGTGGGCTTAACAATTAAAATATCCACTTCTTCAAGCTGGATCCATCTATCTATCGTACATGGTAAATAGTTCGTATACAGAGCTTTCTACTGTATTTGAGCACTCAAAGCTTATCTGTAATGGGATTTTCTGGTATCTTCAAATCTTTAACATAATTAATTAACATAATTAACAATTCTTTTACATCCAAAATGCAATATTTACCTTAAAAAGAATGTCACGACTTTAATTTTGAAATCCAGGTTACCAGGTTACGTTGATTTAGCAGCTTTAGAGTGTAAACTATAGCAATTACACTAAAGTTCCCTCATTTTTCACATTTGAATAAACAAATGTACTGTCAAACAGGAGTTACTCATTGTTCTTTCTAGTCTAACGCACATGTGAAGAAGACAATGCTTCATATCTCCAACATATTCAAACAACTTACTGTGACGGAGAACAAGTGTGAGAATAATTTGTAAACTCCACTGACAAGTGGAGCTTCAATTGCTACATCACGACACGCGTAGGGACACATTACCATGATAATTGCTCAGAGGTGCTCTTGTGTCTGATTGCTCCTGAGTGTCTTTTATTGACTTAGTAGCTTCGAGTAACATGTCTTCCCTGAAACAGACACGGGTATATTTGCACATGCTGTCACACACTCTGACAAACAGAGACTCACAGCTTCTCCTCCACCCTCCATCCTAAGCACCCAATTAGCAGCTACACCTGGCCACCTGCCTCCAATCAGAATAGAGCGACTGTTTCCATGGTAGCCAGAAACCAAAAATTTCATATGCGGATCAGAGATGATAGGTAGGATGGATAATGACTGTCTGTATGTAGGTTTAGAGAACAAAAAAGGGTCTGCATGCAAAATGCAAAAAAAACGCCCATTAGTCTATCGATATGTCTAAATTGCTTGGTGTGTGATCTTCTTCTTTTTTCCTTTACACTAAAACAAGCACACTATATTTAATATTAAAAGGATTTGTATACATTTGCAGTGTATTTCACTGGAAATTATTTTGTAAATGCATTTGATGAAGTACAGATTCTATGAATTTAAAAAATCTATTTTTAAAAGAACTTAATTAAATACTGACAAAATAATACATAAGTATTATAAAGTAGGTTGTTTTCTAATATTTTCTTCTGTTTGAATCTTCTTAGATTTCTAATATCATGAAATATATTATTACCTTATTATGAACCACACTGTAAGTGAATGAGAAGTACAGCTTGAAAGCACACGTCTAAGGCATAGGCACTTTAGACACTATAGTTCTACTTTTGTACTTTCTATGCTTTACGTTCCTCTGTTGTCTTCCCAAAGTCTTGTAAGTTTCCATGTTAAATCATCTGTACAAATGCTGGTGGAGAAGGACCTTTTGAAAATTTAGCATTCATTTTGGTTTTCCATCATGTACAGTTGGTGCCCTTGAGGTATTATAGCTGTGCCAAATGGGTGGTCCACAAAACACTGAACACTGGCATGCTTTCAGGACGACAAGAGTGAAACACAGTTTTTGTATGAATGTCATAAACCACTGTTACTGGTCCCAGTTCTTCTTTCCCGGATTTGCAGAAAATGGCCATCCAAGTCTGGTTAGGTCTGATCACGTCAGATAGGTTTAACACTTAATGTTACACATAGTGTGATATAACATTAGACTCACAAGGTAAAACAAGATAAAACACTTGATTCAGTGTGAGTTGGCAGAAAGAGCACTGACAACAGTTGCGTAATCATACTTCATATTGCATCTTGAGACCGTTATCAAATCCTCACTCTCTTCATTTACCCCTATCACCACTAATCAAAACGAGCCACCGAGAGCAAAGGAGATCTTGCACTGCAAAACAATTCCTGATTATTGTTCATCAAGCTGTTGTTTTGTTTGTTCTTATAGAGACAGCCCTTTTATGATTGACATAAATGGTTACCATAGCAATGGATGAAATTTGATTGATTTAATGTCAACAAAAATAACTTAAAAAGACAGCAAGACATAGACTGAGACACAAATAAAGCCATTTACAGACAGGCTTGAAAAGGCCCTTTGTTTTAAAATTAAAACTGCAGGGGAACACAAAAGTGACGTTTTGTCGCTTCTTACCATCCACGTTTCCCAACTGTTGTCAGCTGTCAGGGTGACATCAATTCACGCAGACAAAACTTTCTAAAATTATTTTTCCCAGAATTGTTGTGAGCAACCGTTGTGTTGTTACATTCTCATCTGAACAATTTTCTTGCGAAACATCTAAAAATGAAGCAATTTGTCTTTATTTATTTATTTTTTCGGCTCTCTTTTGTATTTACCCAGTTGAAAGTTGTCCTTGCCAGTTTTTTTTCCCCCTTTCTTTCCTTTTTAAAATTTTATCTGTCTAGAAGGATGAGCACACAAGCTGTTTTAACATCACCTTCCTTTACATTTACACAGTGGCACACACTCCCCCGCTGGGAGCTTCCTTGTCCAACCAGACTACTGAGCAGCTCCACTGGAGCACATGGGATTAAGGGCAAAGGTCTGCTGAATAACTGTTGCCCTTTTTATGTTTTTGCATTCAGAGCAGATACAATGAAATTATGCCTTGTCTGCATAGATTCAGGGCAACAAGTGAAGCCATGTTACAGTTCAGTCTCAGCACCAAAGTCTTAAGCAGACTGGCAGGTCTTTCAAGTATCACAAATATTGTATTCAGAAGTTACTTGACCGTTGCCTTAAAAGTAATGTACAGTGATGTTAATACAGATATATAAGGGCTTTATTGCACTCATGCATGTGTTTGGTGACAATGGATTTTATGGGACAACTGAAAAATATTTTGAAACCCATAAAGAGTAGAGTACTTGCAAACAATCTGGCAAATGTTACGAAGAAGATAAACTTAACCTTTTTTTTTTTTTTTTTTTTTTTTAACCAAGAAATGTTGGTTTAAAACGATGTACAATGTTTTTGCATCTAAATAATCTTCATACTATTTAATATCTAAAGTGTCACATTTTTAGAATTCAGAGACCCCCAAAAATTGATTCTCTTCATCTGGATGCAGCATTTTCAGTGTGAGAAACATTTCGTCAGTCATCCAAGTGACTTCTTCATTTTCAGCTGATTGCAGGTTTTCCCAACCTTTTAAACATTACATTTACATAATGACTGAAACTAGCACCACTGACTAACAATGGGCCATGAGGTCAGTTTCATGATCAATAATATGAAAATTGTCATGGCCACTGGTCAATGACCATTGATCAATTGCCATGAGTACCATTCATAGAGAGTTGGTGAATTACTGCAATAACAGCATTGTAAGGTGGTGAAAGATGTACCCTTAGGCCCCCTCCTCGATTCAGAGATGGTCTTTCCCTTTTCACGTAAATGTCCTCCTTGACTCCGCGCTCAAATCAGCGTTCCTCCCTGTCCAGGATGTGTATATATCCTCATCATTGACAGTGTCTACTGGCCTGTTGGTGTAACAGGTGTCACAGATTTGTGAGGGTTTTAAATACAAAACTCCTTGAGAATTTAAAAATGCTTCTGTTAATATTTGCAGTTGTTCACTGCGTCTCTTGTTTAAAGATATTAATCAAAAGCATCCAAGGACTAAAACAGGATATGTTTAATTGTGATTGACACACTCAGGAATATCCCAGTGATGGTAAAGATTGTGATGTCACAAGGATCATTGGCAGCTTTGTGAATCTATCACTTATTCATCCATCACTTTGTCCAGCAGCATCTTTCCAAAATAGCCAGCCAGATTGCAGTGAAACTTGGCAACAATATTTCATGCCACCCCCACTCATAAAGTCTGCTAGCTTGGTTCTGTTGTTTGGAGTTCCTGCTGTCACAATGCAGAATATAGTACATGTATGTAGGAGGCCTTTTGCAATGACTGTCAGTGTTGGCAACACTGACGCAAATTCTTTCTTCTTTTTTTTCCTTTTTCTTCTCAAAGTATATGAGAACACTCGCTACTTCTGGCAAACTGAATAATGTTTATCTTTTTTTTTTTTCTTCATCAGCATCACTATCTTTGGTACCGGGGCCAAGTGGCTGTCTGTGCTGCAGGAGAGGAACCTGACACCCTGTAAGTTGTGTTCATGGATAGAAAAGAGTAAAATAAATATGTGAGCATGGTCACAGACATATAGACGTACACACCTACTTTAAGAGAATGGAATTTGTAGCAATAAGAGCAGATGGACACAGTAATGATTATAATAGTAATGTTGTTTGACTCTGAATGTCCTTTATTCCATTAACTGGATGAAATAACAGTTTGCCCTGTGTTCTGGAGTATGACACTGAATTAAAAGGATAAAAAGGCTGTTATGATTTTTTCATATGAGTCATGGATAGGTCCACCTAATTGCTTTTAGTGACACAACTTTCTAGAGAAAGAAAAAGATCTGGACAGATAACCAGAGCTGTGCTGGTGCTTTTTTTTTTTTTGACTTGCTGCTAGCTTTCATGTAGTGGTTACTCTTTGGAACTTGTGCAGCAATAAATTAGATACTGTATTGTGTTAGAACAAAACACTATCACAGCATAGTTGTTAGTCTTTGCTATAGAGTAACTTCCATCAGGTTTTCCTTATTTGTAAGAATTCTAGATTTTATACCTGTTTCGCATTATTGTAGGTGTTCATTTCACTGGAAAGCAACAGGAATTCTAGTTAAATTAGTTAAGCTATATTTCAGTTTCACACAGCCATATTTTAGACAGCAAAACTATAGTTTGAGAGACACAGTTATTTCCATCTGCAGTAATTTATATCTGATACCTCTATTCTGGGACTGTACACCTGCCAGCCTTTCCACATCCATAGATGTTAACACAAAATAGAACAAGCATCAATGAAAGCAGATATTACATTGATTAAGTTAAACACAGCATAAAAGAAGGAGCTGTGGTGGAGGTGGTTTTTAAAGATACCTGCAGATATGCATTCACTCCAGGCAGTCTGAAGCAGATTAACTATATTGATATAAATATATTAGATTTTCCAATTAGCCATCGATCGATGTGGGCTGGCATTAAGATCTGATCAGATTGCAGTTGAGCTTGACATTGTAGTCCACCTCCTTACTACTACAATAGATATGTCAATAAGACGGGGCAATATGGCCAAAAATATTTAGCACAATATCTATTTGAAAATTTGCGATAACAATATAACTGACGATATAATTGGTGCGAGACAAAATACTTTGTCTCCTCCACAACTTTATTAGTGCAAAAAAAACCCCATCGATGTATTTTCACTTAAACAAGCAGCCGTTTTTTTATGTGCATTAAAGCTATATAAAAATTTAACAGTGAAAATGCAAATTCCTTGCTGACAGTTTAACCAAAAGGCATTTCCAGTGGAAATTGGCCGACATATCCTTAGCATAAAAATGTATAATATCCATAAAACCTAAAAAGAGGTTATACACACACAATGCAGTAATATTATGTTGAAGCACAGTACGTATTACTCCTTGAGGCTCCCGACTACGGTAGCCGTAATGCTCCGACAATCCATCAAGCGGTCCGGCTTCGTAGCCTAGCAACATGCGCTATCGCTGTAGAGTGGTATGGTCAAAATCTCTATTGCTGGCCAAATTCATATCGTTTCTACCATATACTGTTTATACCGCCCACCCCTAACATGGGATTACATATCTTGGGCAAAGATACTTGGGTATACAGACCAGGGAACCACCAACCTTTCAGTAAGTGGATGAACTGCTCTACCGAAACTATAGTCACTTGTGTTTTTGGGGGCGATTTTTAGCTACTTCTAAAGTAACACAGTGGTTAGCACTGTTTCCTCACAGGTCCTGGGTTCGAATCCACAGGCTGTCTGTATTCCACCCATGTCTGCGTGGGTTCTCTCTCCAGCTTCCTTCCACAGCCTGAAGACATTCTTATTGGCCATAGGTGTGAATGTGAGCAGAAATAGCTGTTTGTCTCTCTGTGTTAACTCTCTTTAGATTGGCATTGTGTCCAGGGTGTACCCAACCTCTTGTCCTATGGCAGCTGGGATAGGCTGTAGCCCAACTGTTATCCTAATTTGTGGAAGAAAATTGATGGGTTTAAACATCCGCTGCCAGCTGGAAAAATTAAAACAAACATGAAGAAATCACAGTGGAGTCCAGGATTTATTAAGCCTATATGGCATATAAGAAACATTACATGATTTTCATCAAATCAAAATATAATGGTTTTAATGTGAGTTTAGTCTAAATGTACTCCTGAGTGTAGATGGACAACAAAGTAAAATGTACAGGAAATAGTGGGACACTGAAATAGGATTCCAAGAAAGTAAAGTACCAAACCAGCTGTGTGTGTTAAGAGCTCTGTGTATGTCATCCATACACATTGCAGTAATAACATTTGTAGTGCATGGCTAAACTGCAGCCACCAGGCTTAACAATTTTTCTGTCAGAAGTGCAAACAGAAAAAACTTGCATATACCAAGTGTCACCATGTAGCACAGTGCATTCTGATAATCGCCACAAATCTGCATTTGTTGCCATTGTTTGTGCGTCTCTCTTTAACTTTAAATGAGCTGAACCCATTCCTAATTCTAATACTAAACAGAAAGGCATAAAAAAAATAAAACATTGCTGTGTCTCTGTGCTTGTCTCGCTCTCTTGTTCCCGCTCGCTGCCCCACCCCTATTAGTCAGCCAGCCACTTGATCCAGTTGGCACTGTGTGTGTGCATTTGGATGCTTATTAGAGAAAGAGAGCGTGGCAAAGGGAGATGTTGGTGTGTGTGTGTGTGTGCGCGTGCGTGCGTGCATGCCTCCACTGGCCCGAGGAGGATAGTGGGAGCTTCTTCACTGGCTGCCCCAGCGGAGAGGCCCTTTTCCCTAGGATGACATTTGGACTGGACACCTGGAGGCATGGTGGGGGGTAGCAAAAGTCCAACTGTGTGTGTGTGCGCAGAGCAAGGGGCAATTGCTGGAACCTTATTAGTTCCCAGAGTGTTATTGGCTTGTGGTTTGGGCATATGTGTGTGACAGAGAACATGGACATGGATCTTGAGGATGGCTAAAGCGATGTGTGCGGTACGTTGCATGCTCTGTCACATCAGGGTGGCAAACTACAATAACACAACAAGTTGGGGTGCAGCAAGCCACAGCTGTTCAAATGTGAATACCCATTTTATGTGTTTGGTTTACTAATTTGGTTCAAATGATTGGTGACTCCAACTTGGTTTGGCTTGGGTTGTTTTTTTTTTTTTTTTTTGGGGGGGGGGGGAACCACTGTGATAACTGATCCCAGACCAGTAATTCTAAAATATGTGCAGCCTCACTATAAAAGTGTGACTATTGTTGTCTCAATGCAAGCATGTAAACTGCATATTGAGTCTGATCAAAAAACCAATGCTTTTGCTCATTTGCTCTCTTTAAGCAAATGAGAATCCCAAATAATCTTTTCAGATTTTCCAATTTGCCCACATTATTTTTGACCAGTTAATGAATCCAAATTTATTGTACTTCCGGAACTCACTGAATTTTTAACACTCAACATTTTAGGAACATTTTAGGTTGTATTCAAAAAGTGACTTCAAACACAGTTATGTATTACTAATAAGTAAACTACGGAGTTTATTGTTCATCTTCTTTCGCTATTTATTTTTACCTTTTGTGTTTTCCTTCTCTAGCGGAAACACACAATCTCCAGTCCCTCCACACTATCCTGTCTACTGGATCTCCTCTCAAACCTCAGATCTACGACTATGTCTACCGCTGCATAAAGAGCACCGTGCTGCTGGGCTCCATTTCAGGTGACTCAATAACACATAACCTGCTAGAACACATATTATTTTTCTAATACTTAAGAATTTAAGAATAACATATTGTTTTTTTAGAATTATGACACAGAATCATTTAATCATTAAAAAGAACTGTAGATAAATATTTGTCTTAGACATTAATATTACAGTTTTAATTAATTTAAAAATGTCAAGCTTTTACTCAGTAAGAACAATTTATAGTATACATTTTTAATGAATGAAATATTCAACAGGTGCATATTAGTGCATTTTCTGCTAATCAGATTGTGGTTTGACAAAAAAACTATTGTCTATAATATATTCTTTATAAAAATTTGACAGACAATCTGTGGCGCTTCAAATTAATAGCTACTTAACTAGGAACATAATGCATGAAATGCCTGCGCAATAAGTAAAGATTAATCGTGCTAGCTGTTGTTTTTTTCTCCAGTTATTGCTAAAGACCTGTTGTCTGTTTTGTTCACTAACAAATGAAACCAAGTTCTGTTTATTTTTAATTTGATTCAGCCATCGAGTATTCTTTATACTCCATTTCATCTTTCTCCTGTTTTTGATTAAGAATAATAGCTGCATTGTAGCTACATTGAGGACAACTTGTGATATGCTAGCTTTTATCAGTGAGTGACCATACTTGAATTTACTGATAAACTGATACCCAAGAAACTACTCAATACTTGATAAAATACTATCAGAGATTACTATTTCCAAGTTACTTAAAAAATTTGTGGTTCTGTGCATCTGGTGACTAAGCTCCACATTTTAATTACCAATCAAATACAGTTAGTCAGGTAGGCTGTTATCTTGTGTCTAGACTTTCCTCAGTTTCAGTCTGGTACTTTCAGAGAAACTTGGCATTTTTTAGACTTAAGTAATTGTTTTATTCTGTAAAATTAACACCATCCATTACAACTCTGCAGACAGGACTGATGGTGTTTGTTGCCTGGCTCTCACATTAATATTATCATTTTAATATTAGCCATAGCTGCTAACCACTATCTTAATGATAACAGATGGCTAAGGTGGCTATTGGATAAAGGTAACTTCAGCTGCTCTGTTTTTTCTCCAGTGGTTTCCACAGCAGCTGGATCCACATATTTGATTTGGCAAAAATCTTATGCCAGATGCTCTTCCAGGCACAACCCTCCCAATTACCTGGGCTTGGGACCAACACTGGCACTAGCTTGTGACACACCCTAAGGCAAGGTTTTTGGTAAACGGGTAATTGCTAATAGCTAACAGCTAACATGAACGTGAACTGGCCAGTTTAACATTTATCATAACTGTACAATACTTCACTGTTGTTGAAACATGAGCTTTTCTGACCTTTTGAAATTCCCCCTAAAGTGCTTTTCACAAAACTGAAGAAGAGCACATTAGAACACACACTAGCAAAACTAGCAAGCCTGTTGATCCCAAATACAAATGCAATGTCTAGCCTTGTCCATTAGATTGTGTTTATTTTTAGATGTGTTCTGAGTGTTTTCTTTAATTTAGACTGGTTGACCACTTTGATTTTTTTTTCTCTCGTGTTTAAACAACTAATAAGTTAGTTGTAAGGAACATCCCTGACAAAAATGAAAGAAAAGAAGGATTATGTAAATGTAAGATTACTTATATTTAACCTAATGTTATTTTATATATATATTGACAAATCAAGATATTTATATCCAAGATGATTCTGGTGCATAATGTGATGTCTGAGCAACAAATTGTTTGGTTCCCGATGTCTTTAAAACATTTAAAATATATACTGTATTTGTATTTTGAAATTTTAAAGCTAAAACAGAAAAGCATCTCTGACACAAGCACAAAAGGACTGATGCATAATAATAAAACAATAAATTGTATAGAAGGCTACATATTCCTCACCACCCACAACTGTCGCACATGCACACACACACGCACGGGTCTAACGCACACAGTGCTTCTCAGCCCATTGTGATGTTGTCAGGCCAGTAGAATGCTATCTGTCTCTTTCTGTGAGTCCTGAAACGTTTAACATTTAGCAGAGCTTGGGTGACTGACGTATTAAACACACACACACACACACACACACACACACACACACACACACACACACACACACACACTGAGAAGCAGCTTGGAATGTCACGCTTGCATACACATACACGCAGCCATTGTGAATGACAGCCCAAATGGGTACAGCATATAGCCTCAAATACACAAGCAAACATATGCAAAGTTGCACATGCTCACAATGACATGTAAGTCGAAATGCTGGACACAAGCGTCAGCTGAAATGTCAATCACAGGCAGAAATCTGGTGAGAGATGGAAAATAAACAGAAGAAATCTGCAAGCAGATTTTCTTAGGTTATTTTTGTCGTAAATATCTGTGACTCTGCAGAGTGTAAGATAAGTGAAGAAAGAAATCTGTTTAGTGAGGAAGGTGGTCTGTGCAAAATTTGCTGTAGGCTTAAGAATCTACTGAAAACTTCAAAAATAGTTGGTTATGGCAATTACACATTTTCGTTTGTTTGCATTATAGGTTGTTACTCAACAACTCATACGATTTTGTGACACACAACAACTTTTATGAGACAAACACATAGAACGAATCAAGGAAAAACAAGTTTTTGCTTATTAGCTCAATACAAAGCTGTATTCATCCCCTTTTTAATTGCGTTAGTAAGTCAATAAAACAAGTTCGGTATTAAATGGTATCACATAACAGAGGCACTGAGAAACCATGTTAGCTGAACAGATAAAACTGTTTTCTTCTTCCACTTTAAAGATCCTTTATAGTTACTTTGTAAAGATTTTTTAATGAGTCAAATGGCTTATGGAAACAGTAGGTATTGTAACTGTTGTAGCTTTTGGCATTAGAAAAATGAATTTAATCCCAACAGTGCCAAATTACATTATATTTTACCATAAGGTTTTGGGACTGCCATACTCCAGCAGCAGAAGTATGAGGGGAAAAAGTAGAAGATTTCAGATGCCTGTATACCTTGCTGCTTGGCCATCAAACATGTTTTATTTAGAATGTGCAAACCATCTCAGCTTTGCCTCTCTGACTTTGTCTCCAAAGAGCTCAACCTGTTCCTGTGCTGTTCCTCTGACAGTATAGTGTTATAATATTTGAACAAAATGATAGCTAAAGTGGTGAATTGTGAAGAAGACCCAATTTGTTATTCATCTGGACTCGTCCTTTTGGAATTATAGCGCTGGCTCTTTGTGAATGTGTGACTCGAAACAGCAGGTCCTGCCCCAGTCACTTTCCATCTTGCTGCCAAAGGCAACAGAGGGCTTCAACCCTTTTGGCTGCCAACCGACCTAACCTTGACCCATGAGGTCAATGCTGTGTGTGTGTGTTCTGAATGCTCATATATGTGGGTCCCTTGCTGATTTTACCCCGTGTCACTGTGTGTGTATAAACATGTGCTTCAGTTAAAGTCTACTTGGGGTTGTGAAAACTTTTAACGGAGATTGTCGTGTATATCAGGAGAGTGTTTGTGTGTTTTCTGTTCAGCAGGGACCTCAGACCCCTGTTGCTCTTCAGTGGGTGATTTTAACACTTTCACTGCTGGATTTACTCAATCCTAATATACCTCCATCTGACTCTCCATATGTCAGCTCTCCACACCCATTTTGCCTCGCCTCTTCTCTTCTCTTCTCTTCTCTTCTCTTCTCTTTTCTTTTCTTTTCTTTTCTTTTCTTTTCTTCTCTTCTCTTCTCTTCTCTTCTCTTCTCTTCTCTTCTCTGTGTTAATTTTGAAGTATTTACCAAGTCATCTTTTCAATTTTCTTTTAGTTTTTGGTTTCAATTCAGTTCATTTTTGGATAAATGAATTCATGCGTAGGTTAGCTGTGTAGGTTGCTTGGTTTGTCTCAGTTGGTGGCTTTGTTTGACCTCAAACTGTGCCAGTAGTTTTTCAAAGCAGTAACACCTCCACAAATGAAAGAAGATGTGCGTGCACGCACTCACATGTGCAAAAATCTATGAAAACTAACTGGGGAGTTCAAAAAACCTTTTTCTTCACTTCAAAATAGTCACTGCTGTTAGGAGCATCAGATCAGTGTGACACGTTGCACTCTTGTGTATATACACCTTACTCACACATGCACACTACATGTCAGATGATGGAAGGCATCCCAAGAAAACCACATTGACTTTTGGCTTAAATGTGCTTCTGTTTGTGTGTGTATGTATGTATTTTTGTGTGTTTGTACTCACCTATTAAGGTAAATGTAATATTAATCTAATTGCGTATCGTCCCACTATAAGTGTGTGTGTTTAATCAGAAGACAAAGTTTCTACTTCCACCTGGGAGCCAATTAGAGCTCAATAAAGAACCTGCCAGAAAGAGAGACGGAGAAAACGAGTGTAAAGAACAAAGAAATGCAAGAAAGGAGGAAGGAGCAGTAGAAGGGCATAGAGCAACTGAGAGAAAGCAAACGAGATGGATGGATGGTATCTGTCACGCAGAGTGGAACGAAATAGGGAGGTAGAGAACAAACAATAAGAAGGGAGATGAATAGAACGTGTCAGAAATGGTATATGATTGGAAGGTAGAAAGAGATGAATAGATGTGTGCGTCTTCATGACAGTTTTAGGAAAGTGCTGCAAAGGGAAGGAACTCCTATATAGGTCAATGAAGGTGGAGCAGCGAGCTAATGCTGCCTGTGTGTGGAGCAAAAAAATACAAGACACTGGTATTAAGTGTGATAATGTCTCTTGGTCAGTGTTTGCTGATATTTTACATAGTTACGTGATATGGGTGTGGGTCTGTACATTCCAAGTATTCCAAACTAAATGAAATAAGGTAAAAACGTACACATTGCCTCCCTCCAACCAGTTTCACCATTTGAGGTCTAAGTCATCATATGTGCTAACCCTAACCCTAGTCCTACCACACTAAATGTGATTCATTATCTTTATCACATCATAAAATATCTAAGAGACTTCTGACTATTTACAGTAAAATGTGTCTAAAACAGAAGCATACCCTATATTGTTGGCTTCAATCTATTTTTGTCTGCACTTTCAATATAATTTAAAAGGAAACTGCGTCTTGCTGCTAGGTCATCTTAAACTGGCACATCCAATGACTCTAAAGGATTAAAGAATGGTCTACGCCTTCCTGAAAAGTTTTTGAAATTAAAATTTGTAGAGAAAATTATTGGTACCCCTCAGAAATGGTGATAAATAAGTGGAATATGGAAACTAAAGATTGTCTTTATCATAGGCGTCAAAAGTATATGCCAAACATGGTCAAAGTTAAGACTTGAAGAATCACCAAAGCAACTTCCTGTTCCTGTTACCACAGCTCTTACTATTATTTATAAAGTTTAAGATCCAGAGGTCAGGGGCAATAGTAATGTTTGGCCAAGGTTCTTTGTGGCAAGAGCTGAGGAGATTCCACTTTTAAAACAGAAATAAAAAAGCCAGCATAAAGTTTGCTAAAATACATGTAGACGAGCAACAGTGCTTGTAGGAGAAATCACAATTAGAATCGCTCATCAGCTCCATGTTCACTGAGGAATAAGAAAAAAAAGAAGAAAAGAACACCTCTTTGAAACACAGATGGTACTCTGTTATAATGGGAAAACCTTGCTATAACTGTTATAGGGTTCACTGACTTTATTCAGGGTACAATGAAAACCACAGCAATGAATTTATTAAGACGCTACAGAGTTAACAGACTTCCCATTGCTCTGTCTTTTTTGTAGGTCAAGGTTCCTCCAACAGCGTTAATGACAAAAACTTAAGACACAAGCTGGTCAATTTTAACTTCTTAGAAAAATTATATGTCTGTTGCAGAAATATAATGGAAAACTTCCCGGTTTCTCTCAACTCTTTTCCCAGGTGGCACTGACATAGTGTCGTGTTTCATGGGCCAGAACCCAACAGTTCCAGTGTATCGAGGTGAGATTCAATCAAGAAATCTCGGCATGGCTGTGGAAGCCTGGAGCCCTGACGGTAAGACTCTGGGTGAATCTCTTCAGAATTTAATAATCCCTCCTACCACTTTCTGTTTCATTCAACCTCAATAGCAATTAAGAGATTTACTGTATGGGGACAATGGAGCAACAGAGTCAAGGGATTGTGGTCAGCTTTTAAATAAGTTTCAGGTTCAGGCTGCATTTAAATAAATAAATAAATAAATAAATAAATAAATAAATAAATATATCTATCTATCTATATCTATCTCTATCTATAGATAGATAGATAGATAGATAGATAGATAGATAGATAGATATAGAGAAAATTTAAAAATTGTTACCAAGGAAATTAGAAATGCTCCCTTTATCTTACATGTCACTGATGGTGGAGCTTATATGTATATATTTGCCAGGCCAAAAAGTAACTGAAGGACTGTGTGAACTTTCCCTGGAACAATATACTGACCAACTTTAGCGAAACACATTTTTTTTAAATTATTAATTTCAAATAAAAAGGGTGTTGTTCTTTATTTCTTTATTTATTTTTTATCATGGTGGAAGTCTTCAAAGCCCTCTAGGTTTCTGTCATTGATTTCAGTCCCTCTTTCCCCAGCTCCCTGCTGCAGGCTGTACTGGCATGTCTCCACCACCTCAAAGGAGAGTGGATTGAAGGATAATTTAAAGGCAGTTTTGTAGAAAGAGTTTGGGATTATTTTAGTCAGTCTTTAAGCCTATAACACCGTCCTGAGGGAGGCTGTTAGGGTTGTGTGAAACCACACACTAAAGGTATCAGGTTCTCTGAGAGCGACACACATTCTTTTTGTTTTTATCAGAGAAGGATTTATACTGTGTCTCTTATACGCTTATGTGTTTGTGCATATGGACGTGTGCCCAGGTTTATATGGGTTGCAGGGAAACACACACCGCAACTTTCTGTTCCTGTGAAATATGTGTTTTAACAGGTAAGCCTGTGTGGGGAGAGAGTGGGGAGCTTGTCTGCTTGAAGCCAATCCCCTGCCAGCCAACACACTTCTGGAATGACGAGAATCAGAGCAAATATCATAAAGCATACTTTTCTACATATCCCGGTAACCACACAAATGTTGTGTAAAAATAGAAACATATTTACAGTTTACATGTACATAAAGAGACACCTGTAATACCCCTGCTGTACAGCTACCCTTTAAGCAATATCGCCCAGTTTAAATTTATCTGTGCTTACATTATGTAACTGTTTTTATTTGCATTTATTGCTCCTTCATTTTTTTAATGTTTGTTTTCAGTATGTGTTCTTCAGGTATGCACAAAAAAAAAAAAAATCAAAGTTTCAGACAAATTTTTCCTTTTCTCATTCTGTAGGCGTGTGGGCCCACGGAGACTACTGTAAAATCAATCCAAAGACAGGGGGCATTGTCATGCTGGGCAGAAGGTCAGCCATTAACTGCAATCAATACGTTTTATTGATTCATCAGGACAGGCTTAAATGTACTTCATACCCTTTTGTGTGATATTTTGTCACAACTCTAGGCTGTAGAGTCATTTTTTTTTCCTGTGGAAATTTGTGGCAAAATGGCTCGCAATTACAGGAACGCCAGCTCTGAATTTAGAAAATCTGTTTTTTCTGTAGTGACGGCACGCTGAACCCCAACGGAGTCCGATTCGGCAGCTCAGAGATCTACAACATTGGTGAGTCTTTATCTGCAGATGGAGTAGGGTGTGGGTGTAAGATAATAAAAGAAAATGGTTCTGAGTCATGGTTCTTTTTATGTTCCTGGAAAAATAAGACTTTGCCATCCCATTGTCCACTTTTTAAAGTTTACTCACTTGCCATTCTCCGTACGTACTCACGCTGCTTAGTTTGGACACTTTTTGTCTTTTCTGTTCTTTTAATCTTTACTCTCATTTTCTTTTCACCTCTCACATCTTTTTCTCTCTGTGTCTCATCTTTTTTGGTTTGCCTTTTTGCCCTCTGCCCTCTCCTTTCCTCTCCTCTCTGCAGTGGAGGCGTTTGAGGAAGTGTCAGACAGTCTTTGTGTTCCACAGTACAACGCTGACGGAGAAGAGAGAGTTATTTTGTTCTTAAAGATGGCACCTGGTAAGCCCTTCAGTCCAGAGTTGGTGGCGAAGATTAAAGGAGCCATTAGAAAAGCCCTGTCTGCTCGACACGTACCCGCCCTGCTGCTGGAGACCAGAGACATTCCTGTAAGAAAAAAAAATAAATCTATCAGTTAGTTATGAAAAAACTTTATATTATTCTGTCAGGCTGCAAATAGAAAAATCCTTTTTCTTGAATGACAGCCTTTATTTCATTCCTCTACAGTATACCATCAGCGGTAAGAAGGTGGAGGTAGCTGTAAAACAAGTGATTGCTGGTCGGGAGGTGACACAAAGAGGAGCATTCTCCAATCCTGACTCACTGGACCTCTACAAAAACATTCCTGAACTGCAAAACTATTAGAGACGTGGCTTCACAGAGCTGAAGAGAGGGTCTGCAAAGACACGTAGCCTGAAAAGGTTTTAGCTTTGATTTTAGACTAACTTTATGTAAATTTACAGGTACAGGGTGATGTGCAAAGTTCATTGCATGGGTTCCTCAAACAGACACCCTGCGCTGCATACAGGGCAAAAAGGTGATGATGTGTGTCAAAATAATATATAACAATACCAAACAAGATGTATTATAATAATAAATTAATTATATCAGGCAGACAGAGAGACATAGTGTTCCACAAGTCATCAAGCAGCTGCTCATAGTCTACCATACTGCACAATTAAGTGTTGGAAATGGAACACTGAAGGAGGCTTTGGATATAATATCGTGTGTTTAGCAGTGCTTGTGAATAAGCTCATGCTTTGAAGCCCTTGAAGAAATGAAACGCAGTATAAAGTGCTTTGCTTCGGCTTCACACTTTGATTGTTATCAGCTACTGAAGAACCATATCTCCCCGTGTCACCTGCCTGTAACCTTGAGTGGGTCCCTGAATAAAATCCATGGAGGTGTGTAGATAAATACACCCACGCATCTTGGAGTTACGCCTCAGCTTTGGCTCATATCACCATATCATGTTTATGTGGTGTGGATTGCTATCTTAATGTGGATATATTTGTATATCAGTATACATTTTGGGACTGTGAAACTGTGTTGACTTTACAGTTATGCCTTTAACGATAGCCACCCAAACGTGTTAACCAAAGTCATGGAAGTTGTATTATGTTTGTGTAACAGTTCTAGTTTACTTAATTCTTGAATAAGGAAGCCTAGAAAACTAAACTAATATAATATAATTTAATATAGCTTACTAATAACTAATATAGCTTTTTTTTCTGCCTAAAAAGCTATATCACATTTCATACTTGATTTTGAACCTTTGTTTTCGAAATCCTCTATTCAATGTTGTCCCCCCATCCAAAACCAGAATAGGTCGTTATCTATCAATCTGTTGTAGCAAGGATTCAGTCAAGATGCACATTTCTCATTTCACCACAGAAGCCTGTTGTATACATTTGTATCTATGTTCCATGATTGTTACAACGCTAAGAAAAGCATGTGTTGTACTTTGTACATAGAAAAAACGAGTTATTTATTTAAAATTTCCTAATTATAATAACAAATTCTGTAGCCTAGTTGATGCTATTAACTGTAGTGGTTTTGGTCACTAGTAAATCTGTAATAAAACACAATTCCTGTGGGTTTGATTTCCATTTTCCATGAGAAGCAAATACCTGACCAGAGTGTCAATTGTGCAAAGGAACAGATGTCAGAGAGCCATTTGATCTATGGATAAGAATTAAACTGAAAAAAATAAAAAATAGGGACCATTTTCTCATTTGGCTTATTGTGTGTGGTTTCCTGTATAAGTTGGTGCGTTAAGCTTCTTTTCTTTATGATTATTTTAAATATTTGGTATAACTGTAAACCATTTAACTGGATACATGTGCGTTTAATGTTTGAGTTCACAATCATGCCTATATCAAACAAAAGCTCCAGGAACAAAGTTTTGATTGGAATACTGCTTTTTTGCATGTAGACAATTAAATTAAATTAATTAATTAAATTATTTTGTCTCATAAAGATGCACAAGTCCTTTTACTCCTATAGGAGACAAGAATCATAAATAACTCGATGGTTTACACTTGAGTGAAATCAGGTGGAACATTGGAGATCTGCATTGTTTTTAGTAAATATATGTTCTTTAGGCATCAAATATTTCTTATGATAAAGCATTTTTACTGTGTGTATTTAATTTGAGAATGCAAGAATCAAACATGACAGATGTTTTGGACGATATTCTAGGTTGTATGTTCTTTTTGATAACGGGATAACGTTGGTCACTGTAGGTCTGGTTTCGAGCTGTGTGATTGTGAACGCTATTTGCACACCTTGTCTTTGTTGAGTTTTCCGAGGGAATATCTGTGTAAGAAACAACTTTAAAGCTGTTTAACACAGGGATTTTGTTGTATGCATTTTCTGGCTGGAAACTGTCAGCTAACCAATAAAGTGAGGCCAGTCTGAGAGCAAACAAAAAGTTTTGTGTTCCAAAATGTAAGCCTTTTATGCTTATTGTAAATTTACAGTACGCATCCACATTGCTTTCCTAAGATAAACTGGGAAGCTCTTCATCCAAGGCTTTCTAGGCACAGCACACATGTATGAAGTAAACAGGAGTGTGAATCAACATTTATGTTTAACAGCTTAACTAAAATATTTACCTCTGAGCTCTGACACAAAACTACCAGCAACTAATAAGTAGTTGCCGAAAGTTTATAGACCTAAATATTCTGAGCTGAGGTATACAGCTTATTTGAGTTTTATCTTCATCCACAGCCAATATCCATCCATCCATCCATCCATTCACTTCCGCTTATCCTTTTCAGGGTCACGGGGGGCGCTGGAGCCTATCCCAGCTGTCATAGGGCGAGAGGCGGGGTACACCCTGGACAGGTCGCCAGTCTGTCGCAGGGCCAACAGCCAATATGATATTACTAAATTAGCACTGGTGCTATAGCTTTCAATGTGAGATGAACAACTCGGCATACGAACTGTGGAAAAAAACACCATAAAACAAACTGACACACTCATTGAATAACAAAAAATGTGTGTGCACGTGTGTGTTTGAGTAACTGTGTCTCAGCTTGTGTGTTTTGATCTGTGTAAAGCCAGTCATTTTGACAGACAGCTCCTTTAGAAATAAACTTGGCAGTTTAAAAGCTCCCTATAACCTTTATAAGTGTGAATGCTCAGCCCTGCCAGTCACCCAAACTTCAAAATGTAGCAGTGAGAAAAATAGAAACAGGGAGGCTTGGTTAGAGTCCAGTTCCTCAGTATAGAAAGGCTAACAAACATCAGTGCTGAGTACCAAACAGTTCCCCAAGGGGCTCTGAGTTGTTTGATTTATCCCAACAGTCATAAGAGAGCACATCACAAACCAGGAAATGACTGTTTACCACCTGATGTTGCACTTTACATAGGTTGACTGTTAATTACCATCCACGAACCTTGTGTCTGTGTATCAGCTTGTTTGTGCTTCAAATAATGTGGTTGTGGCAACGTCTCCTGTAGTGGGAACTAACACAAAGGTAGTTCTGAGTACGTTGGCTGGCGTTTACTGCTGGTTTGTGAGCAATTTTTGACAAAATTATAACATCTTGATCATGTAAGGACATATTCACAAAACGTTGCATGTTTGAGATCAAAATTAAGGTCACCCTCATACAGTGTTGGGGAGTAACGGAATACATGTACCTCCATTACGTATTTGAAATACAAAATATGAGTAACTGTATTCCGTTACAGTTACCGTTTAAAAAGGTGGTATTCAGAATAGTTACTTTGTTGAAATAAAGGGATTACACAGCAGTCTTTTCCTGTTTTATATGTTAGGCTATGCCCTCTCTATTTTTGGTAATTCCACACCGGTGGAAACCCAAAAAAAACACGCATTAAGAGGCTCAAATGCCTGTGTCTCAATCTCGCGTCTCATAATGACGTGAAGAAATATTTTTAAAGATGACTGTTCAAAAAATGATTTAATATAAAGGCAGAGTGTTAGAGGCATAACCCTAAAGAATGTAGCCTCATGGGCAGTGTAGTCCATGCTACAGTCAGAATGGACTGCCATACATACCCGTTATCTGTCGGTGAGCGCGAGGGAGGGAGAAAAAGAGTCGAAAAGTACGAGTTGTCACCGAGTAGAAACGGGAGCTGGAAGCATGTAAATATAATAACCACTGCAGCCAAGAAGAGTGCCTGACGAGCCCAGTTGTAAGTAAGCTATTAATTAAGACTCGATTGTACACTGTGTTCGTGTTTTCCTCCGAAACAATAAGTTCCGTTGGAGCAGCCTTTCAACGCCTCTCTCCGTCTCTCCTTAGCAAAGCTGACCCAGACAACAAAGTAAAGCTAGTTTTCAGCTACGAGCCCGACACGGAACCCGACGAAAGTCCCTTTACGGCTCGGAGCCGCAAACCTGTTTTATATACACGCGGAATAGTTTTCTATACAAGATCGCTGCAAAATGTGCAGCCTTACCTAATGTTCACCCTACTGTAACTCATTTTATATTAAGATTTTAAAATCTAGTTGCTATTGGTATGGTGAATAACCTTCAGTAATAGTAATAAACCACACAGCAATGGTACATTCATGCAGTTGTAAAAAGCTAAATAATATATTAAGTAATCCAAAGTATTCAGAATATGTTACTCTCGCTGAGTAACGTAACAAAATACGTTACTATATACATTTTGGGGCATGTATTCTGTAATCTGTAGTGGAATACATTTTAAAAGTAACCTTCCCAACACTTCCCTCATAGATGGGCCAGGTATAGTTGTGGCAGTAAAACATGTGTTTAAAGTCACACTACATGCTTGACACTCCTATGAAGGTTGCCCGCAGTATGTTATGGTTCTGAAGTTTACACAACAGATTCTAAGCTCTTTATTTTATTTTTGTATCAAGCTTAAACGTTTCATGCAACTTCTCATAGGTTTGCTGATATCATTGGGTTTGACGAACATGAACTTTAGTGGTGATCATAAGCTGATATTGTTAACTTAGAGCAGGGGTGTCGAACCCCAGGCCTCGAGGGCCGGTGTCCTGCAGCTTTTAGATAACATCCTGGGTCAACACACCTGAATTAAATGATTAGTTCATTACCAGGCCTCTGGAGAACTGCAAGACACGTTGAGGAGGTAAGTTAGCCATTTAAATCAGCTGTGTTGGATCAAGGATACATCTAAAACCTGCAGGACACCGACCCTCGAGGCCTGGAGTTCGACACCTGTGACTTAGAGAATAGTTTCTTGTTATTATGCTAAAGAGAGCTAACCACTGGCCACTAACCACCAGTATGCTTTCGGTTATTATCCATTTGCACTGTGAAGTGCTATCCAACCAGCTTTCCATAATTTACCTGGATCTGAGCAGTGTGCAATTCTCTGTATTTTTTATTATCTGTACAATTCACAATTCATCCTGCTACTTACAACAAGAGTCACATGATCAGTAAATATTAATGACTCAGTTCACTTTGGAGCCATGCATACCCATGCCACAACATTACCTCGACCATGTTTGACAGATGATGTGGTATACTTCAGATCACAAGCTATTCCCTTCCTTCTCCATACTTTTCTCTACCCAATTTTCTGCAGCAGGTTAACTGTCATCCCCCCAATTTTATTGTTATCATTATCTTCAGAAGTGTTCAGGCTCTTAACTTTTCTGACAAAACCTAATCAGGTCTTCTGGTTCTTTAGTGTAACATCATGATTTGTACCTTATAAACCTTGGCGTGATTGCCTTCCTCCTTGTCATCCACTGTCGTTATTTCAGCTGACTTTCAAGCCTTTTGATATTGCTGAGCTGGCCAGTGCGTTTATTCTTTTTAAGAATAAGAGAATTTTAAGATATCAACCGCATTGTTGATTTGGTCACTCCTAAAGCTGATAGCTGATAGCTTTATTTTGGTTTTTCAGCCTAATGACCTCATCACATCAGCATCTCTACTTTCCAGTTGAACAGTGTTTCAGTGAACAGCTAGCAAATACGACTGGAACACCTGGGATGAACTGCAGATATTTTACCCGCTAAATTTGTCATGAAATAATGAGGGAATAGGACTCGCCTGTACACAAACTGCCTGTCAGTTAATTGTCCAATTATTTTTGAGCCTCAGAAAATGGGTGAATATGTACAAAATGGCTGTAATTCCTAAACAATGAATGCAATACTTTTGTTAAACCTCTTGAATTAAAGCTTAAAGTCTGTTCTTCAGTCACACATTATTTGTTCAGTTTAGGGTTAAACTGAATGTGGTGGGTTAGGGTTAGAGGTAAAATTGTGTCATTGTGTAAATACTAATGGGGACTAACTGTATGACACTGAAATTAACTTTCAGCCGTAAGAAATCAACTAAGGTTGTTTTCTGGTCACAATACTGATTTATTTAAATGACAATGTTTAAATTTAATACTGATACATTATTTATGGTGTTAGAAGAAGATCCAATATTCTGTGGGGCTTAGCTGCAGTATGTGTGTAGTTGATGTTTATGTGGTTACAGATTTACAGACAACATACATTATGAAAACACAAAGATATTTTTGTTTGCAAACATTTACCTTGGTTTATTACATTTCTGAGGTCACATGACAGATATCCCACAAAATGTTAGATCAATCACGCTATACGAAAGAAGAGCATACATTACAAAAGTGGAGTTACTTGGGAGCTCTACGTTTACTTTGTCATCCCAGCTCACTTAATTTGTCTAGTCTATTCTATTGTCTGCATTCCCAATTATCCTCAGGTGACTTTGTTCAT